CCCCGCCCCGACAGCTGTTTGCACTTTGTTTAACACAAAGGTGTTAAACAAGAATTTGTAAGGCTAGTGCCATTGTCTGGGTTAATCATCACTATGTACACAATGCTGTTAACTGTTCCTAGCTTACATGGGCTGTGAACACGTATTTACGGTATCAATGATTTAATGAACCGACCCAGCCTAGTAACGCCCAGAGGACTGCAGATCCCAGCCGGCATCGCGCGAACTACATGGACGTGATGACGCAAGGGGGCAGGGCGAGCCTGAGGGAGGGGTCGAACTGTGGGTTGCTGGAGGCTAGGGCGGCTGTGGATCCTTGGGTGAGAGGGAGTGTGAGGAGCGAAAGGTGAGGCTAGCTGACGGAGGGGACGCGGTGTCCGGCTCCCCCAGTCTATGGAGCGGGGTAAGATGGCGGAGGCGGAGAGCCTGGAATCGGCGGCGGAGCATGAGCGGATCCTGCGAGAGATCGAGAGCACTGACACGGCCTGCATCGGGCCCACGCTCAGGTACCCTGGGTACCGGGGCCATCGACGGGCGGGCATGGGCGGGACGGGGAGGCTTCCTGGGATCTGTGTGTTGGCCGGCAGCCCGCAGGGCCAGCGTTGGCGCCGCCCTCTGGAGAGACCGGCTGGGACCTGCGTCCTGGGCTAGGCGGGTCTTTGCTCAGCCCCTATGGGGGAGTCCCTTCCTGACCATCCGCGCCCCACAGACTTACTGGGAAGCTCCGTCTGCCTCCCCGGGAGGGACAGCCTTCATTTTCCCTCCGAGAGCAGCCCAGCGCCAGGGAACGAGGGACCGCCGACAGATGGTGGCAGATCGTCCCCCTGGGGGACATAACCCTTCTCCCAGCGACTCAACCCCTGTCCTGCCCTAGCCGAAAGTCCTCTTTAGACCGAACAGAATTTCACTACGCGGTCTGTTGTGCGAAATTTAATGCTTGCCTGAAAAAAATCACAACTACTTCTCAGAAAAAAACCGAGTCCCTGAAAATCCTAGGCCCTGGAAGGAAGCAAGTTTCCTTCAGTCAGCGCCCTGGTGCTCCTTGAACCCTGTTAGAAGGACGGTCCCTTACCCAGCTTTAGCCTCTTTGGTATTCGCATCACTGAGGAAAATTTAACCCGTCCACGCCCTCCTACCCCCATTTACCATTACTTTGCACTCTTTTATTTGGAAATGTCCAAATAAACTCTGATCTTCTTTAGCTTATTTAACAAAACTCAGGTAGCACTTGTTATATGTAGCGTAAAACATTGTGTTAAATGTACAAATATAATTTATATAAACTATAAGACAATCCTGTTAGGTAATGTTATTACTCACATTTTACAGTTAAGGCACAGAGAGGTTGGTTGACTTGCCCAAGGTCACAGAGAAAGTGAAGTGGGTCTGGACCCGGGCATCTCCTCCCACCTCCCACCCCTGTTCTAGGGATGGAATCCAAGGCTTTGCAGTATGCTAGGGAATGATTGTTCTACTGTTGCGCTACACCCACAGCCTACAGATGTTTAAATACTCTGCCTTAGTTGGGGATTGCCATCTACTGTACTTCTTGTTTATAATCACACACCAAGCCCAATTTTGAACTACTTTCCCCTCAGTTTACCAGTGCCCCAGAACTAATTCATCTTCCTCTTATCCTGTGGTGCGTTCTGATCTCCATGCAACCAGTCCATAGATAATAACTTTACCCTCTTTGTACAGTCTTGGGTCATTGTCCTCCTTTCAGAAAAGAGTTACTACTCATTAACCTCCCCAGCCCCCTGTGGGAGAGGTACATCATGAAAGTGCTTGAAGGAAGAGAGCAAGAGTAGGCTGGAGACTCTACTGCACATCTTCATCTGCACAACTTCCTTCTCCCCAGGACATTGTTAGCACACTTGTCTCAGTGCCATCCTTGGAGTAGTAGTTTGCCTTTTGTCTCTTTAAAGGTACTTTTAGCTCCCTGTTGGGGACCAGTTCTGTTATACAATTCTCACCCCCACCCTTAGCATTATGATTATGATCATCATGCTCTTCATTTCCCGTTTTCTTAAGCTGTCAGTGGTCAGCTATCCTCATATCATTGTCTTTACTTTTATAAAGAGCTGGGGCTCCTTAGTAATATTCTCCTAAGTGCATCATCAGTGGTTATAAATATATGATTTTCCTAAAAAATATGTTACTAGAGTTTCGGTATTAAGAAATTTGACTGTTGAACTGCATTGGCAGCCTAAGAGGTCCGACTGGAGCCTGGTGTAAGGATTCCTTATCAGGGCACCATCAGTGTCATCTTGAGTGCCTTGTGGTTTTCAGGTGGTATCATTCCTGTTTTGTATGATAAATGACTTTAATTTAGTGTTATAAATTTAGTTTGTTGTGATTATATTAACCCTCAACTAAATAGCAATGTATGCTGTATTTATATCAACTAAATTTTTTTTTTTTTTGGTACTGGGGATTGAACTCAAGACCTTGTGCTTGCGAGGCAGGTGGCAGCACCACTGAACTAAATCCTCGGCCCTAAATTTTTTTTTTGAGACAGGGTCTTGCTATGTATTTCAGGCTGGCCTTGAACTCACTATGCCGCCTAGGCTGGCCTCAAACTCGCAGCAGTCCTCCTGCCTCAGCCTCCCAAATGCTGAGATTACAAGTCAACTAAATTTTGACCTACAATTTCCTAGTATCTTAAAACACCCAGGTCTTTTCACCGAGTTACATCCCCAACCCTTTTTAAACATATTTTATTTTGAGACAGGGTCTCACTAAATTGCATAGGCAGGCCTTGAACTTGTGATCCTCCTGCTTCAGCCACCCAGAGTGCTGAGATTATAGGCATATACAACCATGCCTGGCTCTATTATCTTGACTTTAAGATATGTGTATTATGATTCAAATATGATTCATTGCTATCCCTGGGCTCTTTTTCCATTAGAAAGAGAATTTTGTGGAGGTAGATAGATTAAGGGTCTTTTCCCCTAAGGGGACTCTGTAAAAAATAAAAACAAAATGTTTGAGAGTCACTACTACTGCTAAAAGTAACCAGTTTTAGTTGCTTTTTCTGAGCCCCTATATCTTTAAGAGAGGATTTTCATTTTTGGTTTCACCTTTTCTTTGGAAGATAACCCTAGATCTTTCTCTCAAAGTTTAATTACTTGAACATCCCAAATAAAAATAAGTACCCACTGTCTTTGTCTTTAGTCTAGCTTTTCTCTACCTGAGATGATGTCACTTTTTTTCTTACCTCATTCAGAAGCAGCAGCATGATGTTTCAGATTCCAAGTCTTACCTTGAATGTATCTGCATTATTTCCTGTTTTTTTTTATCACAGTCATTAAATAGGTTTAAGGTAATACTGCTCTCTTCCTTGATCACCCTCAACTGTAAACCTTAAATTTTTGTACCACTCTTCATAGAATGACCTTCCTATTTCTTTCGTCTTCTGAGGTAGTTTTTTTTTTTCCATTTCTTTGCAGTACTGGGGATTGAACCCAGTACCACTGAACTACATTCTCAGCCACCCCCTCCCTCAAACAACATTCCTTTTTAAATTTTAAAAAAAATTTAAACTATAACCATAACTTGCCCAGATGAGACTTAAACTTGGTGATCCTATTGCCTCAGCCTCCCAAGTGGCTGGGATTACAGGCTTGAACCACTGCACTCAACTCCATGGTAGCGTTTTTAAGGTACCAGATTTTTAGTTATTCCTGAGATAGAAGAGGTACTAGAGAACAGAAAACATCAGTGAATTGGTAGCAGATATGAGATTTATATATTCATCTCTAAAATTCCAGCTCTTCAAGAAAATCCATTTAGATATGTTTCCTAACCATAGTCTTTTCTTTGCCAATTATTTGTGTATCGCCATTTATTTTCTTGCTGTGATACCAAATTATTCATCCCGTCTTTACCTTTTTGAGAAATTATAGTGGCTTGACTTTTTCATTAAATAACTATACTTATTTTAGTCTTGAACCATACATGCAATGTTAGTAGATTTCCATATGTGATAAGTAATTCTGAACGGTACAAGCATATCTGTACATACAGAGGCTGTCTAGCAAATTCTTTTGGAAAAGCAGCCATTTCTTTTTCCTGTCTTTATCTTTAAAATTATTTGGTAGCTGCAAGCCTAATTTTGAAAAAGAGTCCCATAGACATTAGGGTCTGTCCTGTTTTTTAAAATATTATTGGTTCCCACTTTGTAATACAAATACTAAAATTTTGATCACAAATCACTCATGAACAGTAGCACCATGGAATTTAGATTGTTTCCATTTTGTGGCTGTTGTGAACAGTGCTGCTGTTTGTCACCTTTAGTTGTACTAGTTTTTTTTTTTTTTTTTTGGTACTGTGGATTGAACTCAGGACCTTGTGCTTGCAAGGCAGGCGTGGTGCCACTGGGCTAAATCCCCGGCCTAGTTGTACTAGCTTTTTTTTTTTGGTATCGGGGATCAAACTCAGGTCCTTGCGCTTGCGCAGCAGGCGGCGAAACCACTGAGCTAAATCCCCGGCCCTGTACTAGTTTTTGTACACGTTTTGTATTTTCATTTTTCTCAGTGGTATGCTTAGGAGTGGGATATCTAAGTCACGTGGTAACTGACATTTGAAGAACTGCCAGACTTTTCCAGAGTCTGCACCTTTTTTCCCCAAAGTAGCCCATGTAACTTTATTTGTATTTCTCTCTGATGTTTTTACACTTAATGGGTCAAAGTATCAGCCAATGTGGGTCCCTAATTGAGAAGCTGGGAACTGAGCATATAATATGTTCAAAATTGTGCTCTGTATAGTTTAAACTGTTTCCTAAGGTATTATCCAACTTTAGAAAACTCCAAACACACAAGAGAACTGGCGATTAATTCCCAGTGGCTGCTTGTCCGGGCTTTACTGACTGGATTGGGGCTTTGGGCTGGAGACAGTCTTGCTGTACTGAACCCATTTCCCCCTCGCTCTAAAGGTGAGCACTGCCCAAGAGGAGTGGCCCAAGATTCTGATCCAAAGCAGATCAGGACGCAGGCGGGGGTGGGGTGGGCGGAATCCTTGTCAACACTTATTATTTCTTTTTAAATTTTAGCTATCTTAGTGGATATGAAGTTTCATCTCGTTGTAGTTTTGATTTTTTTTTCCTCATAGCTATTTTCATGTGGTTATTGGTCATCATCTATCGTCTTTGGAAAAGAGTCTATTTAGACCCTTAATTTTTAAATTAGGTTGTCTTTTTTTTTGTGAAGTTGAAGGAGTTCTTTGCATATCAGTGTCTTCTCAGATAATATGATGTGCAGATAATTTATCTCTTTCTGTGAATTCTCTTTTCACTTTCTTGATGTCTTTTTTTTTTTTTTTTTTTTTTTTTTTTTTTTTGTGGTGCTGGGGATTGAACTAGGGACCTTGGGCTTGAGAGGGAGGCGGCGGCACCACTGAGCTAAATCCCCAGCCCAACGTCTTATTTTCTTAACTTTTGCTGCACAGTTTTTAATGTTTATGACATCCAATTTATCTATTTTTTGTGCTTTTGGTTTTTGATGTC